AGAGAGAGAGAGAGAGAGAGAGAGGGAGGGAGTGTGTGTGTGTGTGTGTGAGAGAGAGAGAGAGAGAGAGAGAGAGAGAGAGAGAGAGAGAGGAGAGAAAAGGGGGATAGTAAGAGTGAGAGAGTGAGCGAGAAATAAGAGTGAGAGAGGGAGTGGAAGAGAGTGGAAGAGAGTGAAAGAGAGAAAAAGAGAAGAAGTGAGAGGGAGACAGATAGTGGCAGAGAGAAAGGGTGCGAGGAAGCGAGAACGAGTGATGAAAGAGAGAAAAGGGGAAATAAAGATAGACTAAGACAGAGAAGAAGAAAGACAGAAAGGGGCGCAGAGAGAGAAAGAAGTAGAGAGAGAAAGAAGGAGAGAGCGAGAGAGAGAGAGAGAAAGAGAGAGAGAGAAAGGGAGAGGGAGAGGGAGAGAGAGAGAAAGAGATAGAGAGAGAAAGAGAGACCGGGGAGGGGGGGCAGAAGAGAAAACAAGAGTGATAATCTCCATGCACTAATTTCGTTCTTTTACAAACAGAACCAGTGGTTGAGTGAAGTTGAGTGAGTGACAGGCTCAAATTGAAAGCTTCCAAACACAACGTCTGTTACGATAGTGGTAAAAGCTTGTGAGGTCGGATAAAATTGTTACGTGGGTAATGATCACAGCTGGGCACGCACTCGATTTCTTAGGAGTCGGTTGTTCATACTCATCTACGCAATTAATATCCGTTTACTGAAGAACCAGCTCTGCGTCTTCCTTTGCGTAACTCTCTGTTGTTTTATCTGTTGTTGGTTTTTGGGGGGACGGGGGGGGGAGGTGTTATTTGTTCTTGTTTTCTGGTGGTTGGTTATTGATGGTTTTTTTATTTGGGAGGGGGGGGGGGTTGGGGTGAAGTTGGGGTTTTTGTGTTTTTCAAGAACCTGTGTTTGCACTCGAATTCGTCTTTTTTCTGAAGCACCGGTTCTGTGTTTTCATTCATGTAAGTTTCGCCCTTTAAAGAATGATACGGTTCGAACTCCATGACACATCGTTTTGAGGATAATACGAGATTGAAAGATTCTCTCTTATTATAGGTAAAATGTTTTAACACTTTATTTGTTACACTAAACCGTCAAATTTTAAAAGAAGGCCTTGCAGACTAGATTGGCTCCAGCCATTGACAGAGTGCGCAGTGAATCGGGGTCAGTAATGTGTCATTTCCTGTCATTCTAAGGATACAAATTATCTGCCTCCTTGTCAGAAAGTTTCAGTACAAACTCGAGAAATATTAAACAGAGGCATGTGTTCAGAAAGATGATCTGTCAGGATCCTATTATTATGAACCGGTTTTCCTTTTCAAGTCTTATTCGGTTAACCAGATTTATAACTTGCTTTAAGAAGTTTCTAATCTCTCTTACAAAGATTTCATTTTCTTTCGGCACAGAGATGTTAAGTACTTGTGATGTACGGTTCGGGAATCTGAGATGAAGGAGCCTGGATAATATAGCCTACACAAACAAATTCGCGCATGCACGCGAATGCCATTTTTCATACTTTGGATAGATAGATGTAGGTGGATAAGGTCGGTAGGTAGGTAGGCAGGCAGGTAGGTAGGTAGGTAGGCAGGCAGGCAGGTAGGTGGGTGGGTAGGTAGGTAGATAAGTAGGTAGGTAGTTAGTTAGATATTAGAAAACCAAAAAGAAAAGTTATCTGTCTCAGAAAAGGAATATCACGCGCTGAATGTATGCCGAACACCCAACTAGAGACAGTAGACCACCACTTCGAGGCCGGACTTCACACTAGGGGAGTGCGGGGGTTTCTTAGAGGGGTTTGATTTGTTCCAGAAATTGTATAATTTTTCGTTGGTTTTTTTGTTTTGTTTTTATTTGTGTGGCTGTTTTCTTTTGTTTTTTAGGTTGGGTTTTTTGTTATTGTTCTTTTGTTCGGTTTTTGGCTATTCTTTTATTGATTTTTGTTTTGTTTTTTTGTTGGGGGGGTGTTTTAGTTGGTTCCCCTGTCGACATTATATTTCTTTGTTTGTTGCTGTTTTATTTACTAGGCAGGTTTATCTATCGTTAGATGGGCACAACAGGAGATCTGGGCAGGTGATGGGAGAAGAAAGAACACAGGAGGAGAAATCTGTGTTGATTTTGAACGGAAAATCTTCTTTAAAAAAAATCTCCTTTCAACTTTCCTGCTCTCTAATCATGCTCTGTTGTCTGATTTTGTCTCCACTTTCTGCTTCACCTCCTTTGCCCCCTCTTCTGGGATCCTGATTCATTCTGCTGCCTTTCTGCTGCTAATTCTTGGGTGCTTCTCCCTGCTGTCTTTCAGACACACCCCTTATCTTAAGGTAGGTAAGATTTAATACCTAGCCTTTTCGGATAAAGGCGGAACAATCTCGGAGGTCCCGTGTTCAAGTTGCGCCCATTTAAGATCCCTTGGTGGTCCTAAAATCGATTTATAAGAGTAAGCTTTGGCCGCCACCCGAGCAAATTATTTTTTTTTAATTCCTACAAAATTGAAAGCCTGAATGTGTCTCGCAGCTTTCAATTTTGCAGCTTTAGGTTCTTGTTTTCAAAACCATGTCGATAGGGACATAAAATTACAAATAAAGCATAACATGCGGGCTTCCAACTACAACATTCACTGGCATTTCCTTCAACAGCTTTACATCGTGCAAACACACTTAAAGATTGATAAGGACATGATATAAGCATGTACAATTTAATAACTTATTGTAAAGTATAATGCGAACTTTCAACTACAAACTCCCCACGAAATCAAAAACTTCTCCGGCGTTCGCTTTAACAGTTTTACACCCTGGAAACACGCACACACACATGTATCAGTCCTCTTATCTCCTGCCAGATTGTTTCTCGTGATGTATGTAAGGGATAGCCTCTCTTTGGCCACCCGCGCGCTGACGCGCATGCTGGAGACCTGGGCTACTGAGGCAATTAAACTCAAATACATCTTTCCACGGTTATCCTGCGTCCAGCAGGGGGGCTCAACTTGGGTCGCCGTCTCTCAATGGAGAGAGAGAGAGAGGGGAGAGAGAGAGAGAGGCACTCCATAACGATTATGATCGGGAAGAAGATGATGTTGTCATGCCCTCATGCAGAAAATGAGACTGGCGTGTGGGGGAAAGATTTATGGGTAAAAGTAAATTTCGACGCGACCCTCCGCCCCTTTCC